AGATCACCTAAGCATCAACTTTGGGGGACCAAGCCACAACCAAACCACCTGATGCATCAACCGCATCAACAAAAAAACAACAAGAAGAGAGAAAACATAGACCCCGCAAACGCAGTGCAACTACCTTCCGTCTCGATCGCGTTTCTGAAAAAAAACACGAGATCCAGTTTATTAGAATGAACTAAACCAAATGCAGTTTGGAATGTGAGGGATGGTCCAATTCCTCTCACATTCCAGGCCAAAAGCCTCATTTATCCGCGTGGGGCCATTCCAGGCTGGCTTCCTCCACCTTTTCAGCTTCGTCCATGACTTCCACAAATTATTTTTTGGGGATCGAATCTCCGCAACCTCCCCAGCTATCTCATCCAAATGACGTTTCTTATTGCCTGGTACCTTCTCAATAATATTAGAGTCATATTCATCAATGGTGATGCCCGTCACAGCATCCTCATTGTGATTCAGGTGCACGACCATTGGTGGCTCAACTTCAGCCATGGTCATCCCTTTTTCAAAGGCTTGAACCACTTGGTTCACCCGGTATGATCGGGCAAAGCGTTTAATGCTCGCATTGCCTTGAGGAAACCGGCGCCGAACTTCAAACACCGGACACTCCTCTTCCGACGTCGTTTCAGCCGATTGCCAAGAGTCAGAACCTGGAATCAATTTTTCCACCCCTTTCTGCTCCATATCAGGGCCTTTGCCTCTCATCTTCCCTACCTCTCCCTTCGGCGGCTGGTTCTGCTTCTCCGCCTCTATCCCTCCACCTCCCAAGCTTGTCACCCGAGACCTCCTCGACTGGATGAGCGATTCCCGGGGAAGATGACATATCCCATCATCATTACTATGCGCAGGGGGAATCTGCCTAAGCGGCACCGCATCCACCACCATATTTTCAGACAGGCCTCGATGATGATGTACCCCAGCTTTAATCGAGCCCTTCGAGTGGATTGGGGAAGGAATTTCACTGAGTATGAACTCCTCCTCCGATTCTTCCTCTAGGATCAGCCTCCGATGTCTCGGTTTTCCTTCAACTTTTTTTGGTTTTGGAGCCACCTAGGTGCTGGGGACATGCGAGTTACCTCGCTGGCGATGAGCAGATCCCCCTTTCCTCCGATCCATGTCGACCGAATCTGCAGCAACCACCACTCTAGCCCGTTTTGTCCGGCCGGCCTCTAGGTGAGTTTTGATTGGGCTTTCAACCTCCATTGGGCTCGGGGAGGGCCCTTTCCTAGGCTTTCCACGGCGAGACGATTTGCCCAGGGAAAGCTTGGGCCCCTTCGTCACCGAGAAACGTTTTGGGCTTCGTCCCTTGGAGCGGGCTTTAGTGGTAGCGAACGGGTTTCTAGATGAACCTATCCACAGCGGGCTCTCCAAACCACTTTCAGGCCCATGTGTGGGGAGCATGTTCGGCCCAGGTCTTTGTGAGCCCGGCTCCGTGCCCGTCCCTGCGTACTTAGGCCCACGGATCTCCGTGTTGACCCACACAGATCTTGGGAGCCGAGGGGCTTGAGGTCGTGCCTCATCACCATCGAACACCTTTCTCCCCATCTCCTTAGTCGACATACGGGGGCTGATAGACCGTTAGTTACACATGTTTTTACCTCTGCTCTTACTCCGTTTGAGGTATTGATTCTCGTGTTTTAGGCCGATTTCATGCTAGGTTGTGCTTGTTTATGATATTTCAGGTCCTAGTACGTGAATGGAGGCTTGGGAGCGAGTTTGAGGTCGATTGGACAAGGGTCGGACGCATGGCGAGGTTCTGAGGAAGTCGCACGGGCACACCCACAACCCGCACGGCCGTGCAAGTGACCAGTTTGGCCGTGCGGGATTGTGCGTGGGCACGCACGGGATTGTGCGTGGCCACGCACGGCCGTGCAAGTAACCAGTTTGGCCGTGCGGGATTGTGCGTGGGCACGCACGGGCAACCCATCACTATGCATGGCCGTGCAACATACAATCCTGGCCGTGCGGGATTGTGCGTGGCCACGCACGGGCAAAAGTGAAATCCGCACGGCCGTGCAAAGTGCAATCCTGGCCGTGCGAGATGGCTGAAGTTCGACTAACTGATACGCCGCGTTTTGGAGTGCACGGCCAGAATGGTGATGTGCACGGTCGTGCACCCTGGCCGTGCGAGTCGGGAAAGTCTGGTTTTTAAGCGGATTCCTAGCCAAACAGAAGGGGATTCGAGTTTTTGAGAGACAGAGCGGTTCCTAGAGAGAGAAAGCGACGAACAAGAGCCTCCAAGTGCCCTAGATCGATCTTCAACACCATTGGAGCTTGGTTTGAGCTTGGAGAAGTGCCGATTCAATGTCCAGGAGTAGAAATCCATCTTCACAGTATGATTTCCGCGTCTGATTCTGCTTTTGCTTCTTTCTCCATGGAGTAGTTCTCCCATTCATCTGGGTGTGGGGAACCCTAGTTCTGTATGTTAGGTTTGATTGTATGAACCCAAGTATTGATTCTTTGATATTGATTATATTCGATTGAGGTTTGAATGATTGAATGGCATGAATCCTGATCAAATTCCTGTTGTTTCTGCTTTAACCTAGAATGATAATATCTGCTGCCTAGGTTGATAGAGTTTCCTTAATCGAAGGTAGTGAATTGGTGACTTTAGTCGAGGAGCCAATTCACTATTCTGTACCGAATTCAATTCGGTAGTGGAGGTTTTGTTCATAGGGCCTCAATCTGTTTACTCCGGTGTAGGTTAGTCGCCAGCTAGAGACTCAGATTGAGAGGGTCTGAAGACCTTTAGTCGAGACTTCAGACTGTTTGAGAACCTTCCGCAGTATAACTTTCATAGAAATCGAACTTGGCAATTACAATCCGGCTTAACTGCAGACTAGGGGGAACCATATCCGGGTGACCTCTCTTAACCTGAATACAACCGTTTTAGTTACTTTGCTTGCTTGTTAGTTTAGAACTTCACTAAAGTTTCATTGCTAGATAATACGAATTCACTGAGTAGTCATCACATCTAGGACCCGGGTTGATAATAAAACCCAAACCCGCTATACTACGCTTTAGGAAGTGGTTACACTTGGCCATTTTCTAGAGTGACAGTAACAGCGAGTCAGGGGCCAAACCTCTCCTTCCTTGTTGGGGGATCAAAACGGCATGTCTGACGAGGATGTCCCACACGTCCGCATTTAAAACAGAAGCTAGGAAGGAATTCATATTTAAATCGAATCCAAAACCCACCAGTCTCGTCGTTTGTTGCCAATGATCTGAGATCGTAGCGGTTTGGAAACATCCACCAGGGTCTTCACTTTGACAAACTTCCAGGCCATGTCATCACTGGAGAAGACACCAGCTTCCAAAACGCGACATATTATGGAAGTTACTATCTTCCGCCCGAATTGGTGTGTACAGCAGTCATCCTGGACATCCCATAACTGGACGCGGAATGGGACGATCGTGAGTTCCTCAAAAGTGCGATGGGAAATTGAGGGGACCCATGCCTTCAAATGCAAAATTCTGTCCGCAATGATCCATGGGGTTCGCTGTAAAACCCATGATTTGGATGCCTCCGACGGGAGCGTGAATTCAAACAGATCATGCGGCAGTTCACGCATAATGATACGTCCTTGACCTTGCCATGGCCGATTCACCGCATCCCTCAGCTCGACAGTGGAGAGCCGATCATCAGAGAAAAGACGACCAATGAGCATTCTTGATTTGCGAACGCGAGTAGCTTGGATCTCCTCAAGGGAGAACTCCACCACTTGATCATTAGTGATTCGCGCCATGGGTACCACCTGGAAAGGTAGTGAGTCAGAAAGACTATTGGAGGAAAACCCAACTCCTCCCCCTATCGACCAAGGGAATCCCCAGCATAAGTAGCCGATGTTATGCACGGTAATGGTATCACACCAAACACGAAAAAAGACTTCAGCAGGGTACAGAAATCACTTACCAGAGATTTTCCGTGCCTCACACTGTGTTATATTTTGCTGCCAGCCCTCTTGTTCGTTAGTCTGTTGAGAACGAGTGGGAATCAAGGGGCCGGTCAAGTGACTTAAATAACACAGTGTTGGCTGGAGGGCTACCGGCCGGGGAATGATTAGTTGGTTTAGGAGACTAAGACTGTGATTTTTGAAATCTGATTGTTTAGTTATCCCTCCGCCTTTCGCGATACGCTGGCGGTTAGGAAGAATGCGTATTCGATGAGGAGATGGATCTTCCTTGAGGTCGTTGGGAGTCCAACCCCAACAAGGTATGTCGAGTTGGAAAGGTCGCCGACACAAGCTTGGCCAGGAGGGCCTCACCTGACAAGAGCTGGTCGAACCAACTTTCAGTACTCCACCATCTCGTATTGACTCAGGCTTCGCCCCATTCCGGGATCTGAATCCTGACACCACCGTTTCGTTTTGCACGATCGGTGCTATTGTCGTTCCCAGTTTATCACAAGATACACAATTCGCTTCCTCATCCCCATCGAACGCATAGGCCGATGGGAGCTTGAAATGCCACGCCTGCATACCAAATGTCATCGCCCCATCCCGGGATCTGAGTTCATTCTGGCCAGGGTCTTCAATAACATTTTCTTTCTCAGTATGGTTTATCCTATAAAATTTGATATTTTCTTATTCTTCTCTCCTATAAGATGTTGAAAATTATTATTATTATTGTATTAAGAATGATGAATTATTCGATGTAAATTAAAATAATTTTCTTAAAAAAAACACCTTATAAATAATTTTAGGTCTGCCACTAAACCATATTCAAAAAATTTGGTCCGATGTTGAAAAATGCCTTGGTCCGAGAAAAGAGAGAAAATGATTATGCCCGGCTGCGGAAGCTCCCTCGTTCATTATTAGTTAGTGTGCTCGCCAGCCCATCCGAATCAATAATGTAGGTTGTAGGATCAGATTAGATGCCTCTCATCTTTTCACATTTTCCACCTCTCTTCCCTTCTGGAAACCCTTTTTTATTCAACCTTTTTCTCTTTACCAATTCTATTCATAACCTTACATTTCCCCTTCTTATATAAACCCTCACCATCCCTCACTCACTCTTCACACACTTCACTTTACTACACAACAATGGCCGCCCCACCATCTTACGCCTTCCTCCTCGCCCCTCTCCTCCTCCTCCTCACCTCCGCCGCCGCCAGCCAGCCAGCTTCTAACACGTTATCCGGCCGCCGCCACGCCGTCATCGCCTCATCTTGTAGCAACGCAAGGCACCCGGACCTATGCTACTCCTCCCTCGCCGCCGCCCCCGTGGCGGCCGCCCAAATGACCACCCAGAAGGACGTCATCAAGGCCTCCCTCAACGTCACCTGCGCCGCCGTCCAGCGCAACATGGCCGCCATCAAGAAGCTCATCGCCACCAGGAAAGACCTCACCCCACGCGCCAGGTCAGTCCAATGCGTTATGAAATGTTTTTTTATGCTTTTTGGTTCCTGAGCTGTGTTGTGCTCTTTTTTGAAACGGTCCCTTTTAAAATATCTTTTAATCGAAAATCTGTCATACGTGGGGCCCACAATAAGTAACAACGACAACAAGAATAATATACGTTTCCGTGTTACTTATTCTGTGCTATCCGTTAATTATGCTTGTGACTCTTGTATCGAAAGTAGTAATTATCGTATTTTTGTTTTTCTAATGGTATATTTATTTATTTATTTATTTTACTGTCTGGGTTTGGTTACAAAACTCCTTTTACACAAAATTCTGGTTGTATCATTGTATCACGACTTGCGTTTTGTACTAATGAGTACTATCCGAATATCGTCACAGAGCAGCGATGCAGGACTGCCTGGTGACGATGGACGAGTCCCTGGACGAGCTCCACGTGGCACTCGCCGACCTCGACGACTACCCGAAGCAGAAGTCCCTCTACAAACACGCCGACGACCTGAAAACCCTACTGAGCGCCGCCATGACGAACCAGGAGTCCTGCCTCGACGGCTTCTCTCACGACGACCACGAGAAGGAGATCCGGAAGTCCCTCGAAACGGGTCCCGTCCGAGTCGAGAAGATGTGCGGGAACGCGCTCGGGATGGTGGTCAACATGACGGAGACCGACATTGCGGCTAACGGCGTTAGCCGGGAGGAAGAGGAGAGGAGTAGTAACGGGGCGTGGCCGGAGTGGATGAAGGCAGGGGACAGGAGGCTGCTGCAGGCGTCGACGGTGACGGCCGACGTGGTGGTGGCGGCGGACGGGAGCGGGAAGTACAGGAAGGTGTCGGAGGCGGTGGCGGCGGCGCCGAAGAAGAGTACGAAGAGGTACGTGATAAGGATAAAGGCCGGGGTGTACAGGGAGACGTTTGAGGTTCCCAAGGACAAGACGAATATTATGTTCGTGGGAGATGGGCGGACGACGACAATTATTACTGGGAGTAAGAATGTCGTTGACGGGTCAACTACGTTCAACTCTGCTACCGTTGGTAAGTTTCGTTATTATCGAATAATTTTTTTGCCTGATTATATTATATATATGCTTGTGATGATCGTATTATGGATTTATGCTCGCCAGTCGCCACGTTCAACCTGGTAACGGCGACAAATGTTTAATTAATTAAATATATATATATATATATATGCGCGCTTTGATAGATGTTAGAGAAAATTAAATAAGATAATATGGATATCGTATCTTTCTAAAATATACTGTATCATATATACCAAGAATATAAACTAGTATAACCTGAGTAGCTGACAGATCATGTATTGGAGGATAAATGTAGTACTTCACAGTTCACCCGCATTTTGCCATCAATTTCAGCAAGTTTTTGAGTAGCTCTTTGGTAATTAATAATCTATGCCAAATCTTTTTAAGTTTACCCTTTACAACTTTAATTTGTTTTCAGAGTGCAAGAAAAAACATCACAATAGTTTGCAAATTTGAGAGATAAAAGTCAAATACTTAAAAAAAAAGTATATAAATCTCACTCGAAACAAATGTTTGCGAGGATTACAAGTACTGCTACGATGTGGCAAATTTTTATAACATAGTGTCGTATGATATATGCTCGTGACTGGAGACTTAGGATCTTAGTTATAAACACCGTAATATTATAGAAAGAAAAATAGCTCCTACCAAAAAAAAAAGAAAGAAAAATAGCAAAAAATTAAAAATAAATATTTAAATATATCTACACATTAAATATGGACCTACATTCATGATCCACATAATCGTTGTTGATTAGTCTCGTAGAATACCAAACGAGGAAGCCCCGCCTACGTTGGATGACAATATCGTAACTGGTCGTATGAATTTTGAAAAATGTGGTGGCCAGCTAGCTAGCTGGTTGTGGTTGGTATGGAATGATCATGTGGTGGCACATGGGAGAGTTGCATATATGGCCAATCCGCCATTTTGTCCCTTTGCACGCGCGCACCGCATTTGCCATCTTTCCAACATCGGCCATATCAAGAAAGAAGCGCATAATGCGTCTTTTTCTGCCATCTTTATCCCTTTTTCGTTGGTTAGTTTATAACTTAATATTCTCCCTTCAACTTGCAACATAAAGAGAACATACAGATTCACCCAAAAACCATAAATATTCTACATTCAACTTGCAACATAAAGAGCATACATAGAGAGTCGCCCAAAAGAAGCATTGTAAAATCGCACAATATCGTCGCTGATCCGACCGAAAAAAGAACTTACTACTTATGTTTAAAGTAATAAGTAGTATATAATGCTGGAATACGATTGAACTCACGATTTTAGCATAAAAAGTCATACTGTTGAAATTTTTTATACGACTTCCGATATAAATTTACAATCTTTGCCCAAAATCATGAGTTTGTTATTAAGAGTTTCGTTGTCAGAGTAGGTAGAGCAGGTGCATATTTATTTTATGAAGAAAAATACAACCTATGTCCAACTTTTTTCTTTACATCATTTGAATTTCCACCTTTTGCTTTACTAGCTTTTTGAGGACGTCATTATGATATGGCTATTAAGCTTTGAGAGGCAAATATCCCATATTCAACTGAATCGCTATTCGTCGCCCTAAATTTTAAAAAAATTCGCCCTTAACCAAACTGAATAGACGTTTGTACACCTAACTCCAATTCCCTAATCACTACCTCCTTATGCCGTCCTATCCACCAACCTATTTCCGGCAGCCGCTGTCGTTCCTAGCACCCTCCGCCGATCCCATTCCCCCAATCCACCATCCTTTTATTTCCCCCATCGTCTCGGCTGCGATTGCCGAGAAGGAGAAGAAAAACAATAGTTTACTTGTACTTGGACTGATTGCACATTGTAAATGTGTTCTGTATGCATAGCAAAATTCGTTGAGCTTCTATCTGGATCCCAAACTCGATACACTTACATGTCCGGTTCATGAGATGGGCACATACTGAAAGAAGTTGAATTTGTCGAAGGGGGTAATTTGTGGGTGAAGTTTGAGAGCTTCTCTATATGTATATTCATCATGGATTGTGCTGCAAACGATAGTTTTGAATATCAAATGGTGGGCATGTCGGGTTTCAAGACAATATTGTTACTGGCTGGGTGGGTTAACAAGAGCGGAAGTCTTGGTGACCAAACTGAAACGATGGATGAACGCAGCACACTTGCGACAAAATGGTTTAAGGTGGTCGGCTGTGAGGTGGTCGGTTCTGGTGACAAGTCTTTAAATGACAAAATATAAACTAAGGATATACTGGTAAATTTAACATAATTAAGGCGACATAAGGATTTTTAGGGCGACGAATAGCAATCCCCATATTCAATATGAGAAAGCAACAAATCATACTACTATTTCCTACGTCTTTTTGCTTTAACCCTCTCCTTTGTCTTTTGGCTGCTTGACTATATATCCTGTTATAGCAATGCATAATAATTCTCCATTATTGGTCAACATGTTTCCCTTAATCAAAGGCATCATTACGCTCTATCTATTACTTAAAGAAGCTACAAAATCAAAGGCATGATTTGAGGGGCTCTTTACTTTTCATATTCATTAAAGATAAATATATAAGAGAACTCTTTGGTGCATCTCTGACACCAACATTGGAGGCCATTACAAGCTGTAATTGTCCCCTATGATAGTACTGTATTATTTCTAATCCCTACATAGTAAATACAAATATGGCAAAGGTTGATTGATACATGTTTTTTGGATTTTGAGAATACATGTTCTTCATAATCTGCCTTTTTTCTTCATGCAAGTTCGTACCAAATACTAATGTGAAAGTTTATGTATTGCCGCTCTCATTAATTTCTTTCATGCGTTTATCTCATGCCATTTGGTGGAAATACAAGAAATTATTAGTAATTGTATGAGATTCATTATTAGATCTCTCCTTATAAATTGAATTGTTGGACCAAGGATTCTTCCTAACATAAATTTTCTATACATTAATTCTGAAGATTTTAAATATAATTCTATTCTACATAAGATGAAACATAATGATGGATTGATGTTTGGAAACTCATAAGAATTTGTTTACTCAATTTGGTGAAACAGCTGTGGTGGGCCAGGGTTTTCTAGCGAGAGACATAACCTTTCAAAACACAGCGGGGCCATCAAAGCACCAGGCCGTGGCGCTCCGAGTTGGTGCTGACCTGGCAGCATTTTACCGTTGCGACTTCCTAGCCTACCAGGACACATTGTATGTCCACTCCAACCGCCAGTTCTTCCACAGCTGCATCGTCGTTGGCACCGTCGACTTCATCTTCGGCAACTCCGCTGCTGTCTTCCAGAACTGCGACATCCACGCCCGCCGCCCCAACTCGGGCCAGAAGAACATGTTGACCGCCCACGGTCGCACCGACCCAAACCAGAACACTGGGATCGTGATCCAGAAATGTCGAATCGGCGCCACGTCAGATCTCCAGGCTGTGAAGGGCAGCTTCGGCACTTACTTGGGGAGGCCGTGGAAGCAGTATGCAAGGACGGTGATCATGCAATCCACCATAAGCGACATCGTCCACCCCACAGGATGGCACGAGTGGGATGGCAATTTTGCCCTGGACACATTGTTTTATGGGGAGCATAAGAACACCGGAGCCGGGGCGGCTACCAATGGGAGGATTAAGTGGAAGGGGCATAAGGTTATTGCCAGTGACACGGAGGCGGCAGGGTTTACGGCAGGTCGGTTTATTGCAGGCGGGTCTTGGTTGGCGTCGACTACTTTTCCCTTTAGTCTCGGATTGTGATTTGGTTTTGATTATTAATGAATAATTAGTAATCGAGATAAACAGGAAGGAGATCAAATAAGATATTTGAATGTGTATTCAATTTGACATTTTCAGAGGTAGGTTCTAGCTCATGCATGCATACATGTATCAGTGGGCGACAAGTTGTTTGATCTACATGTAATATATAGCAGTACCGGCTGTTTTTATGTGTTTGATTTGAGTGTCAATGGAAGTTCTATCGGAATATAATACAAGCACCAATTGGAAATTTATAATGTGAGAAATTAAGAACTATACCCCGTAATTCTATATAGTTGTCTCTCATGAGTCATGATAATAAAAGGTGATTGTCACGTAAATTTGTTGGCTTATGCACTTCTTTGAGCTAAGTTTGGTCCCTTGATAACACCAAAATCAGTGTTATTTACCCTCCATCTTAGGGTATGTGTTGTGTCAATTCATGTGATTAAGCATTTAAACATTGTCAAATACATCCCTTTTTAGTTTCTATTTGATTTTGATGTGATTATAGGGTGTATTAGTGAATATCTGAAAATTAGGTACAAAACAAGGTCACAAGTGTAGAAAAGGGGCAAGAATCAAAGATCGTGGCCTAGAAACCAAAGATTGCGGTCGGGATCTCCAGGCGTGAAGTCTCCCTGGAGATCGCGGCCCAGAATCCAAAGATCGCGACCGCAATCTTGGAGCTCCAGGGCGTGAACTTAGCGAAGAAGGAGCCATTGATGAGCAGAGACTTTCCCCAGTCAAATCATGACAAATGTGCAAAATGCCCGCAAGGAAGATCACGTTCGCGACCACGAAGTCAGGCTGCGATCTCCCCTGTCCTTAAGGCCTCAACGACAATGTTTTGAGATCACAACTCAATGAACAAAGATCACTTTTTGAGATCCCCAAAGCCAAGTTGCCTATAAATAGAAGATCCATTCCCCCTTTCAAGAGAGCTGATTTTGAGTGAAATTTCTGGTTCTAGAGAGAGAGAAGAGAAAGAAGCTGAAGGGAGAAGAAGAGAAGGAGAAGGAGAAGCTAGGAGCAAGGAGGCATCTTCTAACCCAAGTCTTCTTTTATTTCTACCATGTATCTTCTTCCCTCCTTTATGGAGTAGTCCTCTAAGGTACGTGGGGTTCTAAACCCCAAACCCTAGTTTTAGGGTTTATTATGTAAGTGAATATTTTAGGGTTTGTATGAATGAATGTGTTTGTCTAGTTGATTTTTAATGTCACTCTTTCCTAAATGATGAAAATTGGTTAAGTCTCTCTAATCTTCCCTCTTAGCCTAATTTATGCTACCACACTGGGTAAGGAGTTCTAGGGTTAGACGGGTATGCGCCAGCTGACGAGTTTTGGTTAGATATGTGAATGGGGGGCCTATAGTGGTCGAGGTGACCGGACCCTTGCTATAGGTAGCCTTCCTAGATGGAACCGTGGATGAAACCTCGGTGTGGACGGTGGATAGTGTCCATTGAAATGACCATAAGCTTAAAGTCACGATAGCCTATATCGAAGTGACTGAACCATGGGTTTAGGGATGCGTACTCGGAGGCGTGTGAATAACGACGAAGGTCCACGAAAAGTGTTCACTCACCACATTCGATAACCCTAAGTATCTATACATGCATAGTATCCCTAATCTAGGGGGAGATTAGTTCCCGGAAGTACCTGCTTTTAGATTTAATCAACCTCTAGACTAGTATTTCCTCATATCCTCCACTCAAAACCTCAAAAACCGATTATCTAATTAACAATAAGGTGGGAAGTAGGCTAGGGTACCAGGACCCGAGTAGTATACGACCTTGATTACCACTATACGTCAATGTCGTCCTAGGTTAAACTTGGCATAGGATGGGATAGTTGTGGATACTTGCAAACCACTAACAATAACATGCATGGATTCAAGTGATCAAGATTTTTGGCGTCTTTGCCGGGGACCCTTGGTAACTAGTAGAGAACCATTAAGTTGTTAGTTAGTTTTTACCTTGGTTTAGTTGTTTGTTTCGTGTTGTGTTTATGTTGTTGGTTTATTTCGTTTTGTTTTTGTGTTTTTGTTTCGTATTTTGTTTTCATATTTGTGGCTTTCTTTGTATTTTTATTTGTCATTTTTGTACGTCACGGGTTGTTGAGGTTGTGTTTTGTAGCATCGTTGTTTGCGAAGAATGGATTCCTTGGAAGTATTACCTCTTGATTCTCAAATCGAGAGAACCCTTTAGAATCAAGAAGAGTTACAAGACCTCAACCTCCACGGCTCCACCAATGGCTGAACATCAGGCTCAAGTACCCCCAAGGCCAAAAACAATGGTTCTTAATCTAGGCCAAGTGTGGACAATGTTCAATCGCCTATTCTTCATCTGACGTTACCCAACAATGATTATGAGATCAAGTCGGGCACAATATCGATGCTTAAAAGTGTGATTCAATTCAATGGGATGATGAGTGAAGATGCACATGCGCATATCAAGTCATTTTATGAGTTGACGGATGGAATCAAAGTGAATGAGGTTCCTCAAGAGGCTATCTGACTAAGGTTATTCCCATTTACCTTGAATGGAGCGGCAAAGAAGTGGTTGAATAATCAACCACATCACTCAATCACCTCATGGGATGATTTATGAAACAAGTTCCTTGCAAGGTACATTCCAACTTCTAAGACGACTTTGATGAGAATTGTGATCATTATATTCCGTCAAGAGGAGGATGAGTCATTTTTTGAAGAATGGAAAGATTTACATCTCTCCTACTCAAGTGTCCTCGCCATGGCATAGCCGAGTGGTTACAAGTTGAAATCTTCTATAATGGGTTAACAAAGGAATCACAGAGCCTCATTGATGCGGCTAGTGGAGGTGTCATTCGGAATAAAGAAGTCGGAGAACTTCGACAATTAATCGAAGAGATTGCCCTTAATAGCTACGATTGGGGTGACGGAAGAAGAGGCAAGAGCATATCAATGGGAAGTTTATTGAAGATTGAATAACCATCGTCTCTATCAGCCCAAATTCAAGAACTTTCCAAGAAATTGTTCAAGTTGCATCGTGAACGAAGGGAAATGGGAAGCAACTTATGATGTGTGATTGGTGCGGTGACTCGAGTTACAATATGGAAGAATGCAAGTCTATGATTGAAGCTTCTATACAATTCAATCAAGCAAACTTTGTTGGAGGCCAATCTTGAGGAAACAACCCTTATAGCTCTACGTATAATCCGGGATGGAGGAATCACCCGAACTTTCTTTGGTTTTCTCCAATGAATAGGAAATCTTAGGGGTTTCAATCTCAACCTCCAATGCAAAATTATTACCAAAGGCCGAGTCAACCAACATACCAAGGAGCGTATCAAGAACAAAGACGACCCTCCGATGGTTGACTTGCTAAACTTGAAGATTTGGGAGGCCAATTTGTCACACATTCCAACAAGAAGTTTGAAGCTTTTAACAAGTTCATAGAGAATACCTCAACCAAATTCTCGAGTTTGGAAGCGGTTCAAAGGAATCAACAAGCTTCACTTCAAAATCTTGAAGCTTAAATAAGTTCATTGGCTCAAGCTAACTCATTGAGACCTCAAGGAACTCTACCGGGCAATAACGAGCCGACCCGAAAGAAGGATGCCATGCGGTAACTCTAAGGAGTGGCCGACCATTGAAGGAGATTCCTATTTCAACTCCAAGGATCCCGGTAAGAGAAGTTCATCAAGAAGTTGTTCAAAAAGAAGAAGTAGCTCGGGAGGAAGTACAACCTTACATTGAAGTCAATGTCGAAGATGAGGGAAAATCTAAGAAGACTCATGAACCCAAGCCAACATCAAAAGCTCCTTATCCTAGACGGTTATTTAAAAGCGATCTTTATCATGAATGTGCTCCATGGAAGGACACATTGAAGCAATCAAAGGAACCGTTCCTTTCCTAGACATGGTATTGAAGATCCCTAAATATACAAAGTTCTTGAAGGAAATTTTGTCAAGAAAGAGGAAAATGGAGGAGGTAGCTATGGTATCCGTTAGTGAAGTTGCTTCAGCATCCATTGGGTATGGAGGATTCCCTCCCAAGCTAAGAGATTGGGGAATCTTCACTATTCCATGCACTTTAGGAGATAAAATATTTTGGAACCTGTTAGCCGACTTGGGGTCTAGCATCACCATCATGCCTGATAACCCCCAAGGTGGGTGGTTTGGATCAGAGAAGCACAGCTTGGATTCAATCAAAAGATTGAATCGAACTTCGGTAAGAACAAACACAAAAATAGAGTTTTGTGCTTGTGTTGGGATGGTGATTTCGTGCAACCTTCTCGAAGGGAAGAGAGGCTCGAAAACTTAGGGTAGATGCTTGGCCACGAACAGTGGGATTAACTGAACGATACAAGCTCGAAATATCACCTAGAATCAGCTAGGAAGATCTCCAAATTCACAAAGCAACCGCTATGGAACTCAACCTTGTGGTTTATTCAATTCAACTCTAAAATCTGAAAATTACAATTAATCAAAGCTACTTAAATAGACCTAACCCATCCTACTACTCTTAGAGAAGTCATAAACAAATTACAATTGGGAAAGGAAATCAAAACCAACAATGAAAAGGAATTAAACACAAAACATCAAAGGAATCCCAATCCGAGAAGGATTCGGATTGTCTGGTTTCCAATGACAGAAACTTAGCTTCGATACGATCTTTTATAGCTTTCGTTCGAGGCCTTCGATACTTCATTCCAGTCATCCAACGCCATGTCGTTGTAGTAGAGGAAACCTACTTTCATGAGGTATGATTCTTGAAGCTCGACTCTCATGCCATCCCTTCGATTGCGGCTTCCAAAGTTCCTTCCCGAACTCGTTCCAACACTTAGAATATTTCGGCAGTTTTTCCCATGATGAGATAGCAACTTGATCGACATGAAAATCACTCTTCTGGGCTTCCTCTCGAGCTCCAAAGCACATCAATGGAAAGATAAACTCTTCATCTTCAAAACAAGGCCTTAAACTCGAATTTTCATTAAGCCAATAACAAGTTCCTGACGTGCAAAGTTGGCTACCTGAAACTCTAAAAGAACTTAGCCAACATTCCGTGTTCTTTGATGTTTTTGAACCTTGGACCACTCACTCCTACTCCAATGCAGGGACGGAGCTAGCATGTTGCCCCCCCCCCCCTCCTAAAATATTAAAATCTGACTTTGAACTTCTAGTATACTAAACAAGCTATGGTCTAGTGGTGTGTAGCTTTGTTATTAAATGGGAGGTCCAAGGTTCGACAGCTGCTGCTTCTAATTTTGTAAAAATTTTCTTCCTTACCTCAAATTTTGCATGC